TGACCTTCCATAGATTACATAAGGACAAGCATCAACCTAGAGCTTGTCCTCAAAGTTCAGTTTAAGTGTCATGTGAATATATACATGAATATTTATGTGTATATATGTAGGAATATATACATGAGCACAATTTTATAAATAAATGTGCAGTTTCTAAAAAGACAAATAAATAATTCTTTATAAAAATAATAAAAACAATAAATGTAAAAATTTTAGTTGAACCAGTAAGGGAAAATTTTAAATCTTTAAAGAAGTAATACAGAAGAGCTAAATAAGAAAGACATTATCATGCTCATAGTTTAAAAATTCTATTACTGTATAAATGTCATCTTTCTTCTACTTATAAATTAAATGCTATTCCAATTAAATAGTAATAGTTTTATGTAAATGCCTAGAAGTAGAATGTCATGCTAAAATGTGTGTGAAAATGAAAACAACAAGAATCTTCAAGGATTAAAGGGGAAAATATTTGGGCTGGCTGTGGCTCAGCGGTAGCACACCTGCCTGGCATGTGTGAGGCACTGGGTTCGATCCTCAGCATCACATAAAAATAAAATAAAGATGTTATGTCCACTGAAAAACTGAAAAATAAATATTAAAAAAAATTAAAAAAATAATAAAAACAATAAATGTAAAAATTTTAGTTGAACATTGGTCATATGCCAGATTCTATGTAAAATGGAATAAAATTGAGTTGGGGAGGATTATTCTTATTTATAACCACACTGAGAACCAGGAAGTGTTTTGACTGTTTCAGGGTTTAAATATGATCCCTTCATATAGTTGTTCATGTTGTCCATTATATAAAGGTCCCATTGTCATCATTTAAATCATAGGAATATGCTAATTTATGTAACAGGTGAAAGACAAAATGGAAGATTTTTGGCTTCCAGGTTAACTGCTTGAGCAGGGAGAATCCCTTCTCAATAGATTATTTTTATTCATCACGGGCATTCACTGTCTCTCTTCCTATCTCTCTGCCCCATCTTTCAAATGCACCTCCAGTACACATGCATATACCCTCCCACTGGCAAATACATATTTTAAAAACCCTCCAATGCTTTGGTTCAGACTTTCTCATAATGTATTTGTAAACAAACACTTCTCTGAGTTTGGCAGTAATATATTTTACTTATTTACTTTTATTATTTGTGGTACTAGGGATTGCACCCAGAGGTGATTTACCACTGAGTTACATCCCCTGCTATTTTTATTGATTTATTTATTTTGAGACAAGCTCTCACTAAATTGCCCAGGCTAGCCTCAAACTTGCAGTCCTCCTGCCTCAACCTCAAGAATACCAGAGATTACAGGTATCTGCCACCTCCTTGGCAGTAGTATATTTTAAGTATGAAAAACATAAAAATATAGAGGAAACATTAAAAATGAAAAAACATTCATTATCCATGTATGACCTTCCTTTTATCCTTTCCCTATATTCCTTTTATTGGCCATTCCTGTGTTCAAAACCAAATGCTTAAATAAGGATTATATTATAAATAGGTTTTATTCACTATAACTTAAAATGTAGCCCATAACCTTTCTTTCTCTGCTTCCCAAAGTTTCCTCCTTTCTAGGCTCTGAACACTCAGTTTGGGATCAGGGCATATATTCCAGTATTGTCAGGATCAGTAATGCATTAAAAGATAAGATAAAATATTATCACATTTAATGTTCTATTTATGGAAAAGAATAAGACTTCTGTCAATACATTATAAACTACAATCTATTAATTTCTCTAATTTTCTAAATATACCAGTTAGATTCTGACTTTTAAATTAAATATAATAATATGAACTTAATTTATATTATTAATGCAGGCTAAGATATACAATCATATACCAAATGAAATGACCATTATGGAGTAGATTATCAACAAATTTTATTACTGCATCTAAGAACTTATCTCAACAATTTGAATGAGAAATAATAAAAGATTTAAAACATGACTAATTTTTTCTAGTAAAAATATTATAAAAATTTGACAATAATCATTATACAATATCTCTTTCTTAGAAGCAATTTTAGACATTTGGATAACACTAGAATATTCCATTTCATGATAAAATATGTATTAAATAAACAGTACCTTTTTATTTCCTCCAAACCCTTAAGTAAACAAATGCATTAAAAAAAAAAAATGAGAAATCATTCTTATCCGAAAGCCTGGGTACTATTCTGGCAACAAAGACCTGCACTACCTTATTAGTTGTCCCAGGATAACTTAACATTTTTTTTCCTTCATTCTTCTCTGAAGCTCCTAAATGTGTATGTAAATTTGTTGTCAACTATCATAAAGGTTAATCCAAGTGGATTATCTATGGCAAAAGCATTATTTTCATTAAACTTTTCATTTTGTTTTCAATCCTGTTTATGATCATCACCATTATCTTTCTTCAACATAGTAATATACCCCCAACCCAAACATTTGGGTAAAAATATTGCTTTAATATTTCCATATTACATATTCCAATCTAGTCAAATGTTGTGTTAGTCATGATTTGCCTGGTCCTGATTTCCTCCTTGCATAATATATGTTCATAATTTTATAGGCATTTTTTTAAGGAAATATCTATGGAAACCATGTTAGTCACACATAACTGAACAACAGAAGAAAACTAATACCAAAGAGTCTGAAATTGAGGGAGATCTGAAAGAAGTAAACAGTTTGGTTTGGGAGGAGGAAAGGTAGAAGAATATATTATTACTTCAGGGGCACATTGAAGGATGCGTATAAAGAGGAAATACTGAAATGCATATGCAATTAGGAAATCTCCAGAAAACACAATATAGAGCTTAAGTTCATCTGCTATAGTTGCCATACCTTCAGTCTTTCTAAGAGTGAGTCACACCTTTGGAGGAGTGACTTGAGAAGCCATTCTAACTGTTAGTGTAAGTAAGTCATCTAAGTGTGTAGGGCCTAAAGGGCTACCTACCATACTATCAGTGGTCGGGTGAGAAGGTACCCTCTGCTTCAAGAAGTTGAGTATATGATAACCAACAGTGACCTGACAAGCTTATATTGGAAGCTAAGTGACTAGTTTAACAGAAGATCAACAACTACATTGAGATTATGAATCTATAGCATTATAGGTGAAACCAGGAGGGATTTCCTCTGATAATACCAGTCATATTGCTAAAATGTACATGGTTTGAGAATGTCTAATGTGAAAAATGATAGTGAATATTTTCTTGCTCAGTATGAATACTAAATATGGATAAAAATAGAATTACTTATTAAAAAACCCACATCACACTGATTTGTCATCTATACCCAGAGTGCAATTAAAATGCAATCCTTTAACATAAAGTCATACTATTTTAATCTCATTGTTTCTTTTTGCTTCAAAGTAGCAGTTATTTATTTTTTGCTAATTTTTTAAAATTTGTTTTTAGACTGGAGATTCACAATTTCTATAAATGACAAAGATGAGAACCACAAATTTAGATGTAAAGTAAACCTTGTGCTAATTAGTATGACTATTCAGGGGATTAAGCTGTTGATTTCATGAAAACAGTTAGTAATGTGAATTATTCTTCAAATCCCAAGAAATCTACTGTAGAGCCATCCATGGGCTGTGTGTGGACTGCTGTGCATAATAGCCTAATTAGGGGATAGGCTGGCATTGCAAACTCCCTGTAGCCCCCCCCTCAGGGATTGATCACCTGATACAGGTGAACCTCCCCCTCAAGTTCTGCCTAAGATCCCACACAGCACCTGAGATGGATGACCTGCCAATATGTCAAACAATCTGTTGACCAAAAGACATCAGGAAGCAAGATTCTACCCTTGAAACCTTACCCCTGCCTTTGATGTACCCCCTTAAGTAATCCATCAGAGCCTTTTTGTCTCTAATTCAATAACCCATGTGAACTAGATCTATCAGGGGCTTCACTTTTGTAAATATATTTCTGAATGTTTGTTTTTATTATTTGTTAATTATTTGAGATACTTAAGATTTAGGGTGGCCATTTAGGGTGGCTGGGATTCCTCTGGGTAGAAGAACCCCCCAATGAGATGCTGGCCATCCTCCTCTCAAAAATCTACCTCTCAAACAATTGAAGACTGAGAATATTTTAATATGTGCACAACTTGAATGTTATTTGGGTAAATAAAATTAATTTACCTATCCTAAGATTAATCACTTTAGCCAAGCAAAGCACATAAGAAATTCACAGTATTTGCTACTACTGAGATCAACTAGATAACAGGACAATATTCATGAGATAGTTAATTATGTTCCTTGTATGCTGAACAAATATTGAGTAAACACATGAAAAGTTGAACAAAAAAGAATGAAATAGTTTTTCTGAAACTGCAAAATTTTAGGAGAGAATTTTGTTCATTTTTTTCCCTTTGAACTGAAAGAATTCTACAGAGAGAGACATGTTCTAACTCTCCTTATGTGTTATTCAAGGTCAGATTTTTTTCAATATTGAAATCCATAAGCCATATTTCAATCATTGTGGACATAACATGTCTGATCTCCCTAAAGAGCCTGCAGACATATATCTTTCTAAAATGACTGACTTACTGTCAGGGAATGACTGAAGAAGCCAAACACCAACTCTATTATCTTTATTCACTCATTTCAGATGAAATAGTGGTGGGTATAATAATGCAATTTTCAATTAAAATACTAACACTGAAAAAACTCGTGGCTTTTACTTCGACCCTTGGAGATCTTGTCTAAAAGGAAATTTTGCTGTCTTTGTATTGCTAGATTTGTATTTATTCAAGAGTTTAGAAATAGAATTAAATAGAATTCAAATCTTATGTTGGATTTTCTACCACAGTGCAATGCAATTATTAAACAGCAAAGTTTATCCAATGCCACTTCTGTAAGCTTATTTTAGTTAAGGTAACTTATTGTTCATAGCTACTAACCTTTAAAACTTAACTACAAATTAACACTATTCATTTCTCTGGTGTGTTTCGTTTTTAATTTAATAACAGAAATTCCTGCCAGCTCTAAAGGTCAGACTAATAGCAGCCTTACCATCATCGTATTGCCCAAAGCAAGCTGCAAAGAGAGAGCCAATGATGATCCCCGAAGCTAAACATTTCCAGAGAAAAAACTGTTGCAACATCTTCTGTCAAAATCCACTCAAGGTTGATCTAAAATAACAAGAGGGAGAAAGATCATTTGATATGTTCATTAATCTGTTATAGGTAAACAAAACTGTCACAGCACTGAAAAGCCTTAATGACTTCATAGTTAATTACCTGTGCCACGCTATCCATTAACAAAGTAACACACTTGTTTAATGCACTGGAACCTTTTATCAACATGAATTTGCAGACAAGAAATCTCTAAGGAAAGACATCTTTTCTGTTACTTAATTTGCAAGCAAATAGTTTGAAAAATTAACATACAAATGACATTAGAAACAGATCCTCTTTAAAATTGAGACCTTACAGATAAATCAAATGTTAATCAGTTTAAGTTGCTAAACTTACATTGTCTATAACATAATTCAGCTATAAATTGTAAGTTGCTCTACAACAATTTAAGATGGTAAATTAGCTGATAGTTTTTTACGTGAAAATTTCAATGAAAATTTATCTTACATGATTAAATAGAAAAAAATCATTAAAATGCTAATTCCTTTCTGGTGCAATGATCAGAGATTGATTTAACTATGCCAAGAAACACTAAGGACAAATTGTCAATTTTTAATACAATTGTCTTTTGTAGCATTTTTGAGGAATTTAATTTTAATTTTATTTTTTTTTTTTTTTTGGTCCTTTACAAATTCTAAGTTAAAAAAAAAAAAAGCTGATTGAGAAATCAGTAGCCAGTTAACACACCAGAAAATCTTATTGAAGTAATTACGTGCTCAGTTTCTTCATAAATTGAGAAAATTATTCACACAGAATTGCACAAAATACTCCTGATTATAGAATGTAGAAGAACAGGAATATGAACTCTGTTTCTCTGATTCAGAGGTTCCAAACTCAAATGCCTACAGAACAGCAAACAAAGGGAAAACATGAATTGGCCCACATGGACAATAGGGTTGGTAGAGGCTGTGATAAAAGGGAATAAAGGGTTTGTCTAAAGAGACCAGCTGGTGCTCAACTTCTGTCAATGGTTGTCATGGGGGAATGCAAACCAGTGTTGCCAGGTCTACTGATTTTCCAGGAAAAGGCAGACATCCAAATTTTTATGTGATTGCCCAGTATTTAGATGATTGTGCAATGCTCTTTATAAGACTAAATGTTTTTGGCAGATCACATTGGTGTCTGAGTTTCTCCAGTTCCTACTTTTGCACAGGATTCTCCCTTCGCTAGACTAGTGTGGATAAAGTTGATCAGAGGACACAGAGGAACAATTTTAATTTTGTTTCTATCTTGTCTTTTATTTTTGTTTATTTATGCTAGTTTTATAATGCTTATTTGTACAACACACATACAACTTATATATGAATCTATATAACAGATTAAATCATATTAAATGCACAAGTTCAAAGGGTTTTAATTCACAGGAGGCACAATTCTTGAATTGCACAAATCACAACACTAGATCATGCACATTTAATACAGAACCAATTTTTTTGTGTGTGTGTGTTTTACCAAAAAGGGAAACAGGTCTTCTTTAACCTGCCCACCTCTACCACACACCTTTTTCATAACTGATGAAGTGCTCTGCCCCTGATAACTTCTAAGCCCAGACAGTCTAAAGAATAATTCATTATATGTCAATAGAAAACAACATTTCATACTTTCATGTTTAAAAAAAAAAAAAAAAGAGAGAGAGAAAGAAAAAAAAAATTGACCAATGCTGGTGGTTATAGCAAGGAGAGGGTAAGAATATGGCTTCTTTTTCAGTTCAAACTCTTCAAATTAACTATTTAAGACCCTGAAGAAATTAAATAGCATGTCTCTCACTTTAATCATACTTCAAGTGGAGATAAAAATAGTACATAATTCATAAGATTGTTTTGAGACTTAAACAAATAAGCTTATATGAATGTATGATTAGCAAAGTACCTCAAAGTGTGCACACCACAATAGCTAATATGAGTCATTTTTGATTCAGCATTTCCCCACTCTTAAAAGTGTTCAAATATATATTTTCTCTGTCTTTAGCAAAGTCTCTAAGGTAGATATCATTCATCTTCCTGGTGAAGAAAAGCATGCTCTTAGAGGATGTCATGGCTCAAAGGTTTAAACTGGCAGGTGCTGAAAAGGCTGGAAAGTTTGTGAGTCTGAAACCTTTGTCCATTCCATCACAGAAAAGGACTGGAGACTTTCTCAGAGGATACTGGCCCAGAATGTTTCCAAGAGTATGAGAGGTCTAGAATGGAAGCTGTACAGTTCCCCTGAATTCTAATGGAGTCTTCATGTCCTTTTCTAAAGTATTATACCCTTATCAAAAACTGTGCAATTAATTGCTTCAACTCTTTTTTTCCCCTCCAAAAATGGCATCATTAAGGAACAACAACAAATAAAAGGCGTGTCAAAACTAAAAAAGGAAATACTGTCATGATATTTATTAGAAAAAAAAATTAGAGAAATACTGTCTTGGCAAAGGACAAAAGGATGGAGTCATGTTCCTTTGTGGGTTCTAATTCTACTGACTTGACTTCCATTTAATTACTCTATTTTGAATGTTATGTTCTCACAGATGATGGTTTGTTTTATTTCAGACTCGCACCAATTTGGTTTCATTTCAAAGCCACAAGATTGAAACAACTGTATAGGTCATCATTTTAAAATCACTGATGTCACTGATGTTAGTTTGCCTCCAAGAACAAAACCACCAGATTTGAGATTCTGTACATTTTTAATAGAAGATTATTTATACTTTGGAAAACAACATTTAAAAAGCTCCTACATAAAATACCTTTTCCAATAGAAAACACTGAATATTCACTTATAGAATTAGTGAATACCTTGAGGAATAAGATAACTCAGGAGATTATGAGACACTTGTTTTGAATAATACAAATATAACACTTTTATACATTCTTATTGTTATATTTTATAGACTTTAACTCTAAAGCAATTTGAATCACTTCAATAGGCTCAGCATTTATAACAATTTTAAAAAAAGCCATAACTCATAATGTCAACCAACCTAATACCCCAAAACATAGAGAAAACCCAATTTTCTACATGCTGATAAAATGCAAAGGTACTTCCTAGAAAGAGGCTGTGTTTCTCCAGTCAAAAGAATATGTAATCAATATGCCAATCAGATGGCAGTTCATTTTACAATGTTATTTCTGCCATGAAGAAAGTCGGAATAGGTCAAATCCTTTAGAGACTGTTTTAATTAATAGCTTTACTATTCCTAGAACTGTATAAAAATGTTCTACAAGAAATGAAACTCAGTCTCTTACAGAGTGTATTTATACAAATCAAAGACATTGCAAACAACACTTCTAACCTAGTGTTATACCTCATTTTTAGGTATAGACTATACGAATTTTTATAAATCCCATGTCAAATTGTTGCCATGTTCTCTAAATACAGATTTTTCCTCCTGATCTCTGTAAAAAACACTGTTAAGTTCTAGAAATCAAAATCATGCCCAGTTCCAAAAAAGAATGTGAGTGGGTAACCTATAAAAATTTTAACTGTATTTTGTTTTTATGAAGCAATTGGGATATTCAAAACTCTGGTATAGAAAATAGACATGATTTTTAAATACTGATATGCAAATAATATTTATAAATATCAATATATTGGGATAAAGTAGCTTTCTCAGTTATAATCTCATAGGTAAGAGGTTGAGTTTCACATTTAACTTATATGGTTTCCTTACTCTAAAAAATATTTTGCTACAATTACTCAACACACAATACAATAATTTGAATTTCACGTATTTTGTGTTCCCTAGATGATAAAGTTTATTATTATTTATTTGGTGTTTTATATGCTAAGAAATGTATTTACCCAATAGGGTTTACAAGGTAGCATTTGTTCTTCTAGGCAGCTGGAAATATCAATGAACAAAGTGACTAATTTCTCTGTTTTAATGGATCTAATATTCTAGCAAAATGAAAATAGAACACAATAAACATAAGTTATATCAAGTGTGTAAAAAGGTAATAAGTGACATGAATACACTTGGTAGCATTTTCAAAACATTTATATTATTATGTTACACTTAATTATCATTCAATAAAGTTCGGACTACCCAAAACAATCAAAATGTTTTCTGATAATGTAACTTAAGGAGAATCTTTTAAGGAGATCATAATTGTGCTAATAACTCTGTGAGAGTATTCTCCACAGAATCTGCTGTCCTAAGGTGAGATTCCTGTTTGTTTCTTGGAGAAAGAATAAAGGTCTTTCACTATCTTCCACTTTCGAGTATAAACCCAAAGCCTGGCAGTACAGAAAGCTATGCTTTTGTACTTTCGTCCTTGCTCCCTGCGTCTCGGGTGGCCATGGTGACATATGACAAAAGTAGCCAAGGCCGACACCTCAGCAGTCTTCCTTCAAATATGTTTTCAGCAATGTTAACTATCTTTTTAGCCTCTGTCCCTGACAGCTATGTGAAGCACCACTAATTTTCTCTGAAGATGGCGAGCTTGGAGCCCACTGCCATTATCTTGATGAGAAATCCCATACCACGGCCACATCAGGCAGCAAGCCAAGTGGGAGCTGTCCATAGGCAGTCTGCCCTTCAGCAGTCTGCTCAGTCAAACCCCAGCTACTTCTGATCTCTGACAAAATCTAGATAGAGCTATAAAAATAAAACTTGTCACTGCTCTGTATGTCTTGTGAGAAATATGCTATCCACATGACAGAATAAAGTGAAGGTCCTTTCAATGCAACTTCAACTATCAAAAAACTGAAAACATGAAGCTTTCCAAAGTTACCATACCTCACCAGACCAAACATGAATTTCCTGAACTGACTGCCTGGGAAAACTGCTTTGTACTTCAGCATGGAGGGAAACATCAATAATGGCTCCATGGCTTCAGGGATACTTATCACTCTTCAGCCTGACCCAATGATTCATCTTTTTTTTTTTTTTTTCTTTTACAATATAAACTTCAGGAAAGTAAACCTTGAGAAATTCTTTCAGACATATTCCCTCTTTCTAGATCATTTTCTATCTTTCCATTACTGT